TACTCTTTAGCTAGCAGGCAAGTGAAAATTCACAGGTTGTATAACTATTTAAATCTTGTTACTGAACACAAAGTTTTCAGGATATAAACCAGTATACAGATGGGTAAACTAAGGCATAGAAAGTGAGCTAACTTGCCCAATAGGCTGTTAGCAGAACCGTGACTAAAACTCAGGTCTTCTGATTCCTAATCCAGCAGTCTTTCTAGTAGACCATCTTGCTCTTAATGTGCTTTTGTTCTCCTTTTGCACCATGTCTTCCCTCCACAGAATTAAAGCCAAATGTCATTCATTGTATATTTAATATATATTTACTTTGTACAAAAGGGTAAATAGATACAGTACAGTCTTCCAGCCAGATTACCTCAATATCATCTATTATTCTGAGAAACATCACAAATATACTGTCACTAATATTAATTCCATCTATTTCTATATCACTTTTATGCTTTAACTATTTTAATACCATTCCCTGTTTTCATGCTAAACTAAACAAACAGTTCTTGTGGTACTTTTTCATGTTAGCGAAGTAATTCTTTGATATTTTCTGGTACACACAAAATGTTACAGTGACCATAAAAATAGTATTCATTCTGATGATTTAAGATAACATCTCTTTAATTATAGCCATGCAACACTCCTCAACATGGGTGTTTTGCTCCCTACATACACATAGCACCTCCGCTAGTGTCAATTATACATTGAATAGAAATATCTCCTGCATGATAAAGAATACATTATTACAGTCCTTTACTTTGATATATTGCTGAGTATCTTATCTTCTGAGTTTGATGGTTAAGTAGAATTTTAGAGTTTATACATATTAATGAATGAGTCAATATTTCAAAAGTTATTGTAACTATATATTAGTGTTATGTCATACTGTATTTTTATTAATTACATTTCATTTGCATTTTTTCACAGGGTGACTCACGACAACTAGGATTACCTGGGGCTGTTGGACTTAAAGGACAAAAGGGAGAAATTGTAAGCCATTCGGTCTCAGGGCATGACAAATTGCAAGATACCCAACTAGTTTGTTACTGCTTAATTTATCCAGTCCCATTTATCTTGTTTATCCTAATATCCTTTAATAGAAGAAAAAATGTTATATTTGCTTGGGCCATTGGGCCATCGAGATCAGTTTGCAACCAGTATTTAACCTATGGTACTCACCAGTAAGTGAGCATAGTGTTGTGTGTAATAATGGTGTTGATCTGGGCCATCTCTCCGTTCCCAAAGAGAAAGTTCTACCTGGTTTCTGCAGCAGAAATCAGTGGTGGATCTTTCCTGGGAAATTGAAAGGGCAGCCAGCCAAAAGAATTTTCTCAAAGAAGGGGTGGAATTTATATGAGAGCAAGAGCCTTGTATGTCTTCCTGAGACTGGCTCCAACAACAGCTAAAACCACATTGTTTGCAGTGACATGGAGAAATTGCTGTAATACTTTTTTAGAATTCTATAAAGATTTTCTCTATTTGCTAGGATATAATAGAACAAGGGAGAATTTTTTTTTCGGTTTTGCTTTTGTTTTTTTAACAGGGCAAAAGGACGTGCAAATTGTTTGAGATATGTTTATATGTCATATTGTCTGTTGAACCAGCATGGGGAAATCATCAATATTTTTGCTAACACCAGCAAATATTGTTTTAAAAATTCTTCTTTAGCAAAACGATGGAGTTTGTTGCACTAAAAGTATTTAAAAATGGAGATCACATAGCAGCCTAGATGCTTAGGAGTTAAAATTTATATCCAGTTTTTTTACAGTATTTCATTAAAAAAAATATATCTACTTTAAACTGTGAAATGTATATTTGCTGGTTGGATATACTTTTATTCTATGGAGGAAAAAGAAAATTCTCCAAGGATATATGAAATAGTGTCCAAGTACTTAGAATTCAGAAGCCCCCCTCTCTAATAGAAGACAATAATTTTAAGTGACTCGAAGCTGGCAAAATCACAAATCTTAATTGAGATGAGATTTTATACTTCATTTAGGGCAAGAAGCACCTTGGCCCAGAGTGCTTTTCTCTGGATGTCAGAATGAAAATGAGATTGTAAATATTTTTTGTTTTCTTAATAGGGCCAGAAAGGAGAAATAGGCTTAACTGGTACAAAAGGAGAAAAGGTAAAAAAATTAACTCATAATCTCACTTGTGATAGTTAAGTATTACTAGAATCCTTGAAACTGAAAAATCGTTGAAACTAGACTGTATATCAAGTAGAAGGACAATAGGCACAGGAAAATATGCTCTAGCAAGACAGTTTGCTTCTGAGAGGACAGCCCTCAGACATGGACTAAGTCCATATATTCAAGGAGGTTAAGGAGAGGTTAGATCATGTTAAAAATGGCTACCTGATCTAAATTTTTTGCCTAGGTGTGGACCTTACACTTAGACCCAGTCTCAGTGATAGGAAATTAATCTAAACCCATAACCATACAAAAGTTGCCAGTGTGTAGACCAGTCTAAAAATGGAATAATCCAATCCAAAATAAACCTGGATCAATGCACACTCCTTCTTAATCAATCTGGGTTAGGCTGGTGAATGCAACCTGTGCATCCCCAAGGCTGGGAAAACCCAGCCACTGGCCCTAGTCCCAGGGCTGTTGTTTTTTTTCCTTGCCTCCTGGCACCATGCTATTTTAGCACTCCCCTCCCCCCAACCCGTTGCTGCCCCCCCTGCAACCCAGACAGACCCCTCTCCCCAGCCAGACCTGCAAATTTAGCAAATTGTTTAGGACATATTTCACTTTAAATATATGCTTATATCATTTGCTTTCAAAGGTATTCTTAGGGAAGTTGTTGAATAAGGATGGACTGTTGAATTGGATCACAAACAGTATTGAACTTAACACATCCTAGTTGTATGTAGCCCTAGGCACTGCTTGGCTGTGGTATGGAGAATGTGATTGCTTTTCCCACTGCACTACTTGCAAACATTGTGCCTCTGCAGCCTTTTACTATGTTTGAGCTTTCTCTTCTGATACTAAGGGGTTAAGAGAAAAGAATCAAAGGTAGAGACTTAGAATACATTAGTCATTCTTGCTTTTAAGAATTTTACTCATATTGTTATATTGCTAATATAGTCATCAATGCTTTTTTCTTGTAGATGTCTCTGATTCTGCTTTATGCTTTGTTTTGTGTAACATATACGTGAACCAGACTTTAAAAAAATCAAACAGTAGTAGAGTTCCATTTTCTTATATTTTTATATTCTGTTTCAGCAGTACTTCAGATGGACTTTCATAATTTTAAATGTTACTTAAAATTATTCGTTTTCATTGAATACTTATCAGTTATTTTCTTTATGCTTTGAAGGGCTGTTTTCCAAAAGCAGAGGAATATATTAACCATTTAAAATAGCCAAGTAACTGTTCACATTTTCTGTGTACTACCATAGGGGGAGCTCCCGGAAAAAGGAGAAAAGGGAGATCCAGTGAGTATAAGTAAAATTTAAAGACGCTTTATACTTAGATTAGATTACCTCACCATATTTGAATTCAGAGCTTTTACCTTCATGCATTTTAACAGTTTAAGTGTCAGGAACAGCATGATTATGTTACTGTGAAACTCAGCTATAAAAATGTCATCACAGGGTTCTACATTTGTTGTGTCTCGGTTATTTATATCAGATTCACTCACTTTTACCTATCAAAAGTTGAGATTTCAGAGTGCTGACTCCACAGAGTTAGAGACAGACTTGGGTACAGGGAACTTTACCCATTCCTATGCATCTCTATTGGGGCTGCTAGCATCCTTGTGCTTAGCTTTTCTGTGTTCTCCCTTTAATTTCTTTGGTGGAGTTTTGGATGGGATAAACTATTTGTATTTCATTAGTATTTAGGGGGGGGTTATGCATATGTGTATATGTAGAATACAAAGTAAGAATTTAACAAAAGAGTGTGTCAGCTAAAAAACAGCTACATTTAAAAAGGCCTATTAATTCATTTGGGAAGCGCTAAAAAAACCTTTCTACTTGTAGGCCATTCTTACGACCTTATTGTCTACACTTCACTTTTTTATTCCTTAAGAGTATTTTCATAAAAACAAACTCCTCATTCTTTTAAGATTCTACTTATTCCTGTTGCTTATTTTTTATGTCATAGTCCTTTGTAATATACAACAGATATTAGTCATATTGCTTAATGTTCCTTTGAAAGTCACTCAGATAATAAGTTGTAAGCACGTTATTAAAAACTATATAATATTGAATAGAATTTTAAAAGTAGCTATTCCAGAGAGTAATATGAAATCACACACAAGGTGATTTCAGGTGAAGGATAAGCACCAAACCAGAAGAACTTCTAAGTAATACCTTGCTTCCATGCACATGTCCATATGCAAAAAAAAAAAACACTATACACTCCACTGCAAGTAGAGCTGTTTTAAAATAATCTTTTTCAAAATTTCAGAGACATCAGTAGCTCTTCCTGAAAAAAATTAACATAGATTGTGTTAGCTAAATTAATATGATGGTAATTGGTAGACTATACAGTTAATATAGTTAATCTTAGTTTAAATTTCAATTTACTATGATTGGACCTGTAATTTTCAGGGAGAAATTGGTGTGAAAGGATCAAAAGGCTTTAAGGGATTTTTTCTGATTTGTGTACATATTAAATGCTATTATATGTGCAATGGTTATTCATGGATATACTATAGACGTAATTTTTTAAAAATAATTTACTTAGGGTGAAATAGGAGATCCCGGTCCACCTGGCCTCATTGGAAGTCCTGGCCCAGAGGTATGTAAAATATACTTATTAATATAACTTATAATGTTTTATTAATATGACCTTGAGCAAGATCCTGTCCTGCAGTCAACCTTTTTGGCACTTCTGAATCTGGTCTGGAGTAACAGTATCATGTCCAAATTTTGTCTCTAAATTTTGTCCTTTAACGTTCCCCATCTGTATGCAAGTAGACTCTACCTTGATGGAGATTGTACCCACCTGGCTTTGAACATCCAGTCAAGCGCCACGTGTCCCTGGATGCTTGGAGTTGTCTGCCTGTCCGTCCCTGTGGTCCCGCTGAGTTGGTGTCTTTGAGCCGGATAGTCTCTCCCCAATCTCGCCTGCCAGAACTTTGATCTTATCCCAGTGGTGGGGTTAGACTATTGGCGTCTCTCATGCATAGGACCACTGGACGACAATCTTCTGCAAGGCTGCACCTCCCCTTTACTTCACCCTTGCATCCCACCTTGTTGAATCCTGATGATCTTCAGCCAAGTCCCTCCGACAGTTGAGGTTGCACGCCCTTTACTTAGCAGGCTATATAGTAGCCAGGCCAAAGGCCCACTTCGCCCCCTTACCCCTCACAGCCGACTAGCCCTGTCCGTAGCTGTAAACTACCTGAGCTCCTCACCCAACAACCCCTCCAAAAGTGGGCAATGGAAAAAAACACACACAAAAAAATATCACCCATGAAGCAATATGAGATACTAAGGGATGGCCTTCGCCCCCTTTAATCTCCTGCTCCCCCCGACTGCCCTACTCCAACCGACTCAAGCCCCTAAGACCCTTAACAAGCCCTTGACTGGGTCTGGGTCAGCCTGTTGGCTTCTATGTCCTCCCCTCCGCTCCTTATCGAGCCTGAGGATTCACTGTACCCCTGGTGATCCCTCTCTGCGCATCTTCCCCACGTCTTCTGGTGGGGCGGCTCTATACGGCTAGTGCCTGTCTTCCATCACCCTTTCCACTAACTGTACCCTTCAGCCCCCACCTGGGGTACCTCCTTGAGGCTGTCCAAGCCCTCTATGGTCACACCTGGTCTGGCGTTCTGGCTTCTGCCGACTCTCCTGGCTTTTTGCGGGTAACTCCGGGTCTCAAGCCCCTCCTGCTCTCTTCTGTCTCCGGGTCTCAGCTCCTCTTCTGAGTAAGGCTCCTCAGCCCTCTCACCCCCTGCGTTGCTGCCGGCAGCATTTTCCTCATGAAGGGCTTCACTCTCTCCTCCTGTGCTGCAGGATGCAAATCCCCACACTCCTCCCCTTCGTGGGGACTCTGGGAGAGATTTCCCTTCTGGTGCTCCTGCTGGTCTCCCCTCCTCTTCCTTGCCGGTGGCTCCTTTTATCTCCACCGGCCAGCTCCTGCAGCTGATGTTATCAGCTGGCCGCAGCTGTATAAAGACACAGCTAATGAGCTGCTTGGGTCCCGCTGCCATTTCCGGCTTCACCGCAGCTCTGGCTATAGGTAAGAGTTTTTCTGTTTTCTTTTTTTTTCCTTTTTCTTCCCCTGCCAGCTCCTGCTCCCAGGGTTCCCCCCTGGCTGCTCGGGGTCTTCCCCCTTGTTTCTCCCAGTGACAGAGATTTTGGAGGAGAAATCTTTTCCCTCAACTGCTGCTTCTTAGATAGAGAAATACAACCCATCTTATTTCTACTCCTGAAAGTGTAGGCCTAACATCTTGGTGGGGAAAGTTCAATGAAGAACAAACCTCAGCATTCTCTTGACAAGAAAGAATCTAAATCCAATCTGTTCCTGGCCTGAGGAAAACAGCTGCCAGCATTTCTGATTAATCTTGTTTGTCATTTGGGGCTTCAAATAAAAATCTATGTTCCTTCACTCTTAAAACAAGACTGCTTATGGTTCTTGGGTGATATGTCCTAAAATTCCTTAGCTCCAAGCACTAACTGCATTTCTTTTTTACCCTTCTAACTCAGAAAAGGGCTTTTTCTGAACAGTTATCATTCCCAAGGCCTTAACAAAAATTAGAGTCTCTGTCTCAGCAGTCTTCAGAAAGTTCTTCATAATTCTTTGATGGTCTGTGTTCAAGTAATATAGGAAGGCTCTGTAACTACCCTAGTGATGCCAGGAATATTCAGCCAGTTGATTTATCTTAGGAGCTTATATGATCTCCATAACTTAGTACTGAAGGCTCAGATTCAAAGAAAAACTTGGGAGATTAGCAGAAACTAGGGGTGTGCAAAGCAGGCCTGTGACATCTGTAGGTATTATAGGGCTTGCTAGTACTGCCCTGCACTCATCTGCCTACGGGTGGCAACAGGGTAGACCTTGGCTCTGGATCACCAGGTCTGCCAGGAAGTGGATCTTACATTTTCTCGCCTGCCATGACTTTGATGACCTATATATTCCCGGAAGGCAATGCTCACAGTGATCCCACCTGGTCTTGATCCCTTTGTCTTCTGTGGGGCTCCAACCCTCCCCTTTACCTCAGCCTAGCCTCTCCAGATGGTGTTTTACAATATTCTTCCGCAACCAGGTTGCAGTGCTGCCTGTTGTAATCTTATCTGCCCCTACCCCAGGGATGATAGCCCAGTCATTACATTAGCCCAGGATGCAGCTGACATAGGTCGAAGTTCCTACTCTGCCACAGCCTTGTTGTGTGACCTTTGGCAAGTCAGTTTGTTTCCTGTGTCTCACTTCCCATCTGTACAATGTATACATTTTATCTATTGACTTGTTAATGCAAAATTTTTTGATTTTTTTGATCCCTCTGGTAATCTTCAGTAACCTTTAAAATAAGTTAACACAGTAAAAATTTATTTAACACCCTCTAAGCTGCATTTGGAGATACATCTTAGAATAGTGGTATGCATGGCAGACAAATAAGTCATTCCCCTCAATTGAACACTAAGATAGATTCAGAATCCTGATTCAAGTTTTGTAGTCCAATGACTTGAGATTCTCTTGGTCTTGTTATGACTTCTGTGATCCAGGTTATTTTTTCAGTCTCTTCAGTACTAGTTGTTATCCTTATGTGGATGTGCTGGCCAGATATACCATTGTTGCAAAATATTCAACCTTTATTGACTAGAACAGAGCTATGACAGTTGATTCAAGATGAGGATCTGGCACATAGTGAAAACCCCTGCTGTGGGCATGCTTTGAAAAATTAATTCCTTAATATGGAATGTTTTAAGTGTAGCAACACAAATCTCATTGGGCTAATGCAGAATAATCTAATTTAAAACTGTGCTGCTTTATCCAAGTAGAAATAATTTTAGTAGAAGGCATTTTGGCTTTATGTTCTTATTCAGGATGAATAAGCATATCATCTTGTGTTATATCATAGGGACCCCAGGGACCTCCAGGACCTATTGGACCCCGAGGACTTCCAGGAGACGTTGTAAGTATTGTGTAATTTTCAACAGACAGCAGAATTTATGAGAGCAGAGTATGAGATGATAAAATAATGCCATGGGAAACATCACTGTGCGGGCTTTTTATGAGGGATGATTTAGTAGTTGTCCCAAGGGACTTGGAACACATCCAAACTCTGCCTCAACTTAGACCATGGAGCTGTATAACTTGAATATCCTTTTTTTCCTGTATATTACCATCCACAAAGCGTGGATCATACCACTAACACAGGAGAATCACATTTCAGAGCTTGCCTACGATTGTTAAAGTAGCTTGGAAAGAATAATGTAAAATGTCAGACAGAATTGGAAAAGTAGAAAGATTATGGTAATTCCAGATTTTTAAAACACAGAACCTAACTCTTACAATCTGCATTTTAAATCTGTGATTTGTCATTATCAACAAACTTTCCTTAAATGTGTCCATAATCATATAAACTTGTTTGTTATCTTAGCACCCTAATTCAGTGGTATAAATAAAAAATGTAGTAGAAAGAAATGTATCGCTTCTATAGGTGCATTGAGAGAAGGCCAAATTAGCTCTCAGTGGGTGCATCTACACATGCAGTTAAGGCAGAGTGATAAACTCTGGCTCAGATCGCACTGAAGAAAACTGCTCCCAGGACCACAGGAACTGATTGCGGAAAACTGCACAGCATTTACATATGCACTCGGGACCACAGCAATTTGATACAGGGTGGAGCAGCCCCAGGCTGGCAGCAGTTCTGGGTGGTCAGCTGCAGGGTCTGGGTAGTGGTGATGAGTGGCAGAGGGGCTGGCTGGTGCTACAGGGCAGAACAAGGCTACAGGGCAGGGCTAGCTGGCAGAGGGCCCCTGCACTTTAGCACCCTTATGCCTCAGCCAGCCCCTGTCACAGTTTATACAGTCTACATGTGCATGTGATCACACATAATTATTCTGTCATAAGATAGTACTGTCGGAGACACTTGAAGCACTATCTAAGATGGTACTCGGCAGCATCACTGGGAGGGCAGGTTGGGTGGGGGGCTGTGGAAAAGTTTGGGGTGGCAGCAGCCCCCCTCCCACTGCTGCAGCCTGTCCCAAGTGCCAGGAAGAGCCCGGTGCTGCCACCCACTTCAGCCTGCAGTGGCAGCCTGCTGTCATCCCATGCACAGATCCAGAGGCACGTGCCCCCTGGGAAGAGTCCAGCACAGCCCACCAGCTTGCAGCCTTCCTGAGGTGCTCATAGTAGCAAGAGCCATGCTCCACACCCCCATCCCATACCCCGTACCCATTCACAGTTTCCTCTGCTTTGCTTCCTGCTGCAGCCCTGGGAGTGGCCAACAGGCTGCACCGCACCCCTCCCCCTGTCCCTTCCCCTACAGACTCACCTCATCACACCCCAAGCCTCCTCCTTTCCCCACTTACCCCAGCCCCTGCTGCAGCGGTCCCAGGAGCAGCCAACACCACCTGCCTGCAGCACGGCATGGCACAGCCCAGGAGCTGATTGCATAAGAGCAGATTTACCTCACATATAACGAATCTGGGGTATAAAAAGAATCATCACATAAGAGTGAATTTGTATATACAGAGCCCACATAAATCAAGGGAAGCCTGTAGTCCATTTTTATTTTTAAGGAAACAAAGTAATAGAATCCTTTAAAAAAATGTCCTAATGGGTTCAATTGCTAAAAGGCCTATATAGAAAAGAGAAATAACAGCATTTGATTAATCTTGGCAGATAGTACTCAAATTTATTGTATTCACTTCTGAGTTCAGAGACTTTTTGCCTAATCAGTACCTAGAGAGCACACCATAGCCCTTCCCCTCTTAGTGTCCCATTTTAAGAGGATTAAGGGTGGTGCATACTTCATGCTTCTCAATTCATTTCAACTGCTATTGATTTGAGACAGAGCGCTTTATTGGTTCATGATTTTCAGGCCTACAGCTTTGCTTGAAGCCTCTTTTGGCTTTCATCCTTTTTTATGTTTATCGTTATTGTCTTATTTTTCTTTAAAAAACTTGGGACCTCCAAGTGGAGGGAGTCTGGATACCACAGGATGTGAAACTTCCTATCAACCTGCTCAGTCTCAGAGTGCTACAGAGAGCAAGGTCAGTCTTGCTATACCACATACTGTCATGTCGTGTATAGGTAATAATAGGCAACACCAAAGCAATGTTCTGTATTAACAAAGCACTGTAAGATCTTGCTCCTTATTCAGGGAAGACAATCACTTCTAAGAGTAGTGCATTTACCATCTTCTTGGTCTCCAGAACACCAAAGCAGACAGTCCCAATGAATTAATGGCCCTGCACTGTGAGTGGGAGGTCAAAGACTCAGTTCTATATTCAGAACTTGCAGATGGGGCCATCTGAAGATAGACATGTTTGCAATGGACATCCGGAGAAAATGAAAATCCTTCTTTAGAGGAGGCCTTTGACTGGACTCCATATTCCTTATTCTGTTGTCAGGAATTCTTCTATACATCTTCTTCCTGATTCCAAATTAAAGACTAGTTTATTAGGATGCTACACTCACTCATCCCTCTTTCCCCCCTTAAAAACACCACCATGGGTACCTTTTGGTTCCATGACTTTCTTCCAATAATCGTAAAGGACTCCAAGAAAATATTTTCATCCAGATCCTCAGTCCTCTGCAGACTGGATGATGGCTGGTTCTCAGAAATAGAGAGAATGCTCTGTCCCAATCAGAATTATCTTTATTCATAGAAGAAAGATGCACTGATATGGCTAAATAATTCATATTCTCAGGATGATACCAGGAAAGAAGGCTTTTCATCTATTTTTTTCACCTGGTTCCTCTATTCCAAATTTACTGAAATACTTGATAGATCCTGACCGTGTGGACTTGTCCATTAGCTTGGTCAAAACATGCAATTAGCTTGGTCAAAACATGCATTTTCTCCCCATGTACTCCTGAAATTCTTCAAAGTTTTGTCCAAGATCTTTTCTCAGGTGCAATACCCTGTTCCGCTTTTGAACCTCAGTGTAATTCTCATGTTTCTAATGAGGTTCCCCTTTGAACCCATGGTAGTGTGCTCTTTGCTGCACTTGTCCGTGAATATAGCTTTACCTTTGTTAGGAAATATCTCACCAAGGAGAGGCTAGCAAAATTCAGTCTGCATGGTGGATTTTTCTTCTTCTGTCATCTGTCCAGATCAATGCTGTGAATAATCCCTCAGGTATCATCTCAGTTCATTAAAACTCTCTCTGGGGCTCTGTCATATCTTTAGGTGCATACTACTGATGAGGAGATATGAGTTCAGCTCAAAGGAGCCTTCTATCAAACTGCCTTGGACTGTTACGGTACCTTGCACCACCACTCAAATGACTTGTTTGATGAGAACTCACCTGAAATGATCCCACTCATAGAAAAGAAACAGTCAGGTCTCCTTAAATATAAGTGGGGCCCTAGCCACTCCAACTTGCAGGTGCTTTAAGAGATCCACCAAAAGGTCAAACACTCAGTGAAACGTTGTGCAAATGATTATTGGCTACAACTGCATGAAAGTATCCAGAAAGCTGCTGACCGGGGTGACATGCAAGCAATGTATGGAGACATTAGGAAAGCTTCTGGGCCTGTTCCGAGGAAGACCATCCCTTTAAAATCCTCCACAAGTGAAGTCATCAATGATCACAATACACAGATGGATTAATGAATTGAACATTACTCAGAACTCTCATGAAAATATGGTCCGTGACTTCTTTCTCAACGCACTTGAAAACCTCTCAACCCTGACAGTGCTTGACCATGAACCTATTTTAGACAAAGTAGAAAAAGCCATTGATCAGCTTGCTTGTGGTAAAGCCCCAAGTGCAGATAGCATACTGGCTGAAGTTATTAAATACAGGAAATCCATCCTCCTCTTCCATCTGTACAAACTAACTATGTATGTGTTGAAGAGAAGATGAATTTCCTCTTGAAGGATGCAAGCATAGTCACTCTGTACAAAAACAAAGGTGATTTGAGCGACTCTAGTAACTATCATGGTATATCGGGGGGGCAAAATATGGCCCTCGGGCTCAATCTGGCCCACCAGGCCATTCTATCTGGCCTGCAAGAACCTCTAAAAAAATTAGTAAAGTAATATTTATTTGCTTCTGGCTGCTTGTCAAAGCTGACAAGAGACAGAGGCAGTAGGACCCAGGGGGAGCCCTCAGCAGAACTGAGCAGCTCAGCCCTGCCTCAGCCCCAACCATTTCACTCTCTTCCTGCCCCTGCCAGATGGGGGAGCATGGGGCCCCACCAGTACATGTGTGTGTGCATACATGCACACAGGCAGAGGCTCTGTGTGTGTGTGTGTGTGTG